GTGAGTGAGAGCATGTACATGTGTCTGTGAGATGTCTATGTGTTTGTGTTGGCAACATTGTATCATTTACAGTCATGCTAAAAAAGTATTTCTGAATCTACCTCCCCTGGTCAAATAAGGCACTGGTTATAATGCTGAAAAAGGTGCAGATCTTTATTTTTGTAAACACTTTGTTTTTAGCAGTAATTTAATGCTGGGCATGTCATCGTGATTGACAGGTGTGATTGACAGATTTTTAGGGCTGACCGTCGGAGATTCGTCAGAAGACTGAAGTGTTATTATTCGATTTCTGTGTTATTTTACCATGATAAAATGAGTTGTTCAGCAGTAAACTATACTTTTTGACCTACAGGATCTGGTAGAACACTGTTTACTCTGTAATGCCAAGGTTTTATCAAGCTTTATTATATAAGTAATATGGGCAGTAATTCTCTTTATGGGTTTAAATAATAATTAGAAAGACAAAACTAATGTTTTGCCTATCACCACATAGATCTCCTTTTTGAGTTTCAGCATGCTATTAATGTTCTAGAAACCAAATCTTAAATAACAAATAGAGCTGTAAATGTTATGTATTATTTATATGCATCATGTATCGTTGACTTTTTATTTGAAAACTCCTTATAAACATTCAAATGAAATCAAATTCCTCTTTGTCAGATATAATGAAGGCATCAAATAAACCAAACGAAAGTGCAAAAAATAATAAACAATATACAAGCGATGTTTCAGCAACTGAAAGACATCAGTTGATGTATTAAAACTGTGAAGTTTATTGTACAAATTGACGAGGATTATTTTATATAGTGCAGGGTTGGGATGTTTAAATATCCTGTTTAGAAATCTTGCTGTATTTCTCTTTTAAACACCTTTTTTCCCACATGGTAAATTGTTATCTATTGTGTGAAAGGCTATATTCTGGGTACTGTTGATTGCTAATTAAAAAAAAAAACCTTTCTAAAATGTGTGTTGTATATTGTTCATATTTTACATGTGTTATTTTTACACTGTAAAAAAATTCCAGATTTTCACAGTAAATTACATTAGTATCGCTTCACAGTATTTCATTGTAAAAATTCACAGTAATATGTTGTATTCATAATTTTATTGTGAAATTAAGGCAGGTAGCATGATTACAACAAATTATTGTAAAAAGGGCCATATCTTTTGAATGGTAGTTATAGAAATTTAAACTTTTTTTAATTCAACATAGAAATTACACTAAAAAACGCTGGGTTGGTTTTTTAACCCAAATGCTGGGTTGAGACTGCTGGGTAACAAAATTGGGTTGATTCAAACTGTTGCTCCGAGTCCGCCTGACGACCGACCTGTTTCTCCGGACCTGTTCCTCGCCTGACGGCCGAGCTGTTGCTCCGCCTAACGCCCGACCTGTGCTCGCCTCACGCCCGACCTGCTGCTCCGCCTCATGGCCAGCCTGTTGATCAGTGGACGGGAAAGCGCGCATGGCATCGGAAGGAGCTTGAAAAGTATAAGGTAACTAATGAAACTAACGTGAAGCATGTTTGATGACCACTTTATAAACACAACACCTAGGATAATTTAGGAGCTTTTTATTGTAATAAAATGCCTTTTGAATGACACAGATTTTTATGTTGGCTAGGTGATGACAGTAAGTTACGTTACTGTGATTTGTGATCTTTCTGGGGTGTTAACTGTGAAGCAGTAAGTAGTATTTTTACTCATGTATTTCTTAAGTTTGTTCATGGATTTTTGTGACAATACTTTGATGCATAAGTGTTGAATTCAGCTTCTCTAACAATGTTTTTTTTAATCAAAATATATACAATAATTGTCCTGCTCTGCATGTACATTTTGTTTAGCTGTAAATTGAATAGCAAATGTTATTAATTTACTATGAGCATTTTACATTCTAGACGTGATTTGAGATATCTTTAATTAATCCAGTATGTAAGGGTCGTTTCATGCAAACGGAAATGTCTGAGCTAAGGCTAATTCCAACCTAATCATCTTCGACTCCAAAAAGAATAAGTTTGACCACCGTTTTATGTGACACCCTGGATAATTATTACCATTTAGGAGTATTTTTGTGATATAGTGACTTTTGGCTAACATGATCTTTTTTTACTTAATTTTGCTTAAACGCTTTTATCTGTTATTCTTTTTCAGATGGATAATTGCGTGAAAATCAAACTAAAAGAATGCAATCTTGAGGAGTTAATCCCCACATTTGAAGGTATGTAATAATATTTTACTTGGTTCATTGTAATCATTAGGGCTGCCTTTGTCTAAACATTTGTCTGGTTGACTTGTGATGTTCATTTGAAGCATTAGTTGAATAATTACAGATTTATTAATAAACCTTTTATTCATTAATTCATTTTCTTTTTGACTCAGTCCCTTTATTAATCTGGGGTCGCCACAGCGGAATGAACCGCCAACTTATCCAGCATATTTTTTACACAGCGGATTCATGCAGCATACATTGACTTTGCCAGTGTGAACTTTTTTTCTGCAACTATTGGGTAGCACATTCGCCTCATAGCAACAAGGTCACTTGATCGATCCTTGGCTGGGTCAATAGGCGTTTCTGTGTGGAGTTTGCATGTTCTCCCTGTGTTCGCGTGGGTTTCCTCCAGGTGCCCCGGTTTCCAAAGACATGTGGTAAAGTTGAATTGGGTAGACTAAATTGTCAATGGTGTATGTGTGTGAATGAGTATTTGTTTCCCAGTGATGGGTTGCAGCTGAAAGGGCATTCGCTGCATAAAACTTATGCTGGATATGTTGGTGGTTCATTCCATTGTGGTTACCCCAGATTAATAAAGCGACAAAGCTGAAAAGAAAATGAATGAATGAATAATAAATTTTTAGTTGACTAATGGTTATTCAATTCTTAGGGGGCAGCCCTAGTAATCATTAGCCACTTCAACATGCCAATTTGTCTTTGTCTGGTTATTTTTTAAAATCTGCTGTTCATGCAACCAGTGACATTCTCTTGTTTTATTTTTAGCACAGGAGTGAACCTTTCCTCGTTTTTAGGTCAATTTGAATACAATTCAGAGGGTAAGGATTCAATTAAAGGTTTCTCGATGCATAATGATGCATTTAATGCATAATGCTTGTCTTAGTTATTTTATTAACAATGAAAATGTTATTTTTATGTTTGTTATTAGGGTGGCATGGGGGCACAGTGGGTAGTGCTGTCGCCTCACAGCAAGATGGTCGCTGGTTTGAGCCGCGGATGTGTTTCCCCTCCACAGTCCAATGACATGCGGTGTAGCTGAATTGGGTAAGCTAAATTGTCCATAGTGTGTGTGTAAATGAGAGTGTAATGGGTTGCAGTTGAAAGGGCATCTGCTGCGTAAAACATAAAAAGATGACGATTTTGTGAAAGGTGTGATTTGGTCACAGCTATGGTTTCTCAAATTTTTAGTGATAAGATGCTTTATATAGATAGTGAATGCAACAAACTCTAAATGGCCTGTAAGCCAATTATTTTCATTAAAGGAGAAGTCCACTTCCAACAAAAAGATTCACACATAATGTACTCACCCCCTTGTCAACCAAAATGTTCATGTCATTCTTTCTTCAGTCAGAAAGATTTTTTTTTAGGAAAATATTTCAGCAATTTTATCCATCTTCATGGACTGAGATTGTGCCTCATTTTTGAAGTTTTTAAAGAAAATTTAAATGCGGCTTCAAATGATACAAATATGGTTGCAAACAGTCCCAGCTCAGGAAGAAGGGTCTTATCTATTCTCATTAAGAAAACACAATTAAATACTTAATAATTTCAAATGCTCATCTTGCCTTACTATTACTTATTAAAAAAAGTTCCTTAGGCAAACCTGTTGTTGCATTGTCATCTTCACTCGAGCCAAAAAATTGCAGCATAGTGCCATGGTCAGTGGTTAACTAATGCCAACACTGGCTGATAGCTTGGTGTATTATGGCCTTAATTGCTTCTAAAGGTATTTTAGGTGTTCTAAAGTTAACTCTAAAGATATTTAACTTTAACACTTTTGAGTTTATAATAAATCTTAATTCTATTTATTTTTTCAGATTGGGACCAATATTGCTGAGTATCTTCATCCATTGAATTCAAGAATCTATTGAGTTTCCTCATGTTCTCGTCCTTGGAGACCACCACTTCTTTCAAGCCTTTGCTCACGTGCTGTGCTATTTATTATTGCAAAGTACATTACTTGCTAAAGTGGACGTTTGCTATAAAGCATTCTACATCTTTGGTGTGAACTACCCCAAGCAGTGTTCCCTGGTGTGGCAGACTGTGGTTTATGGACATCCTGGGGAGGAGACACTAGCAGTAAGGGTTCTGCTAGCATTAATTTTTGCTGACAAACAGTAATCATTAATACTGCGACCTCACTGCTTCATTGGATTCTGTGTTCTTTAACTTGTACTTTGGATTGTGGGGGAAAAGGAGCACCCAGAGAAAATTGATGTTTGCACATAATTGTTAAAGGGAAAGTTATAAAATGTTTTCTTATTTTTTCTTAATATAAAATTTGTATTTTCTTAGTTTTTATTGTTTGTTTTGTTTTTTCAAGCTGTTTGATGCCTTTTTATTATTACTTTCACATATTTTTTTCTGCATTGCAGTTGATGATTTATATGAGAATATGTTAATGTTTGTGCTCAAATTTGTATTTTGAAGTTACTTTCTGACTTCAGTCATTTAGATGCATTTTCATTATTACTTCCTTATACTATTGTTTTTCTCTACTCTGCAATAACATTGCAATTGCCTCTTACTGATGATTACTGATTTATACATGATGCAAATGCTTTTGAATGTATTTCAAATATGCATTTTCTTAAGGTAATTTGTCTGATTTCAGTCTGATGCATTGTATACTGAACTTTAGTCAGTGTTTCTGTGATAAAGTTTGATAAATTTTCATAGAAATTGTCTTAACCCTTTAACTACCCTTACAAGAAAAAAAAAATTGGATTGCATTTCTCAACTGCTAATGTCGCTATTGAACACAATCAGTACATTTTAACACATGTTATAATTTCTAAAATATCAACCTCTACCAAATGATTGATATGCATGTTTATGGTAAAAGTACCAGAATTATGAAAAATCTGAAAAATCTGAAAAATTATGTATAAGACCAATAAAAAAAAAAAAAAAAAAAAAAAAATATATATATATATATATATATATATATATATATATATATATATATATATATATATATATATATATATATATATATATATATATATATATATATATATATATATATATATATATATATATATATATATATATATATATATATATATATATATATATATATATATATATATATATATATATAAATATATATATATATA